TTTTTTTTTTTGAAGGAAGCTTGCTAGAAGGTAGGGCTGCCTTCGACAAAGAGCAATGGGATAAATTCTGCTCCACCCTCGGAATGTGCGAGGTCCCAGCTAAAATATGTCGCCTTTTCAAAGGCCAGAACGTCTCGAAAGGAAAGCCCCCTCCAATGAGGGTAACTCTTGACTCAGCACGACAAGCTGAAGACATCATCCTTTCGTCCCAAAGACCATCGGTCAAATTGTCCTCGCTGATTCGTATCAGGCATGACAAGCCGTGGTCGGTACGTGCAGCAGCCAGAACTGCACCAGACACCCAGGAACAGACCACCATGGTAGTTCACGGCATACCCGAACTCACCAACGGTAACCCGGACGAAGCACACGAGCACGATGTGCAACAGTGGCGATGGCTATCGCGTAGCCTATCCCTCCATACCCCGATGGCAGTCTGCATCTGCAGGTTGCCCCGCCCGTCACACCTTACGTCTATCAAGTCACCACGCCTGATAGCTGTAACACTCAGGAACCGGGAAGACCTGACCAAAACACTACAAGCTTGGTACAGTTCGAAGAACGAGCTACCTAGCCACATCAGATGTTGCGAGAGACGACCTAGATCTGTGAGACAACAACAGGGAAGCCAAAATGAACGCACACAGCTGATAGTTAAACTCGGTCAACTACCTCTGGCTCAAGATGTGAGTGAACCAACCGCGCAAGCAAAAAACCAGCAGAGGCCAGTTCCCACAGAACTGGCCGACTCGGTTTAAATAACTTGCCTAAAAACCCGACTAAGGCTGATGCTGCAAATGTGCACCAGGTTCAGAGACAAACCACCAAGTGCCTCTATAGCAACGTAAGAGGACTAAGGGGTAAGCTGTTAGAAGTCAGGAATATGCGCTCTCAGATGGATCTGAAGATCATAATCCTAACAGAAACATGGCTATCCCCTGACATTGCAGATGCAGAAGTGGGCTTGGCAGGCATGACACTCTTCCGAAGCGATAGGGAACACCAAACTGGAGGTGGAGTGGCTATATATGTAAATAGCCACTTAAAAGCAGAGCGGCTATACAATACCCAACTAACTGAGGTGACAGAATCATGTTGGTGTTGGTTCCACCCAAATGGCACGAAATACTTGATTGGAGGGATCTACCGACCTCCTTCGGGTACTAGGGCCCAGAAAAGCAAACTGGTTGAGGCAATTCTGCTACTGCCACTCCTAGGGTTTGATCAAATACTCTTAGCCGGAGACTTCAATACCCCATCTTTAAATCTCAGCAATCAGAGTATCACTCCCGCTGGTTGGTTCCAAAGACAACTTGGTACAGCCATTAGAAGCTCTGGCATGACTGAGCACGTACGCAGCGCCACTAGGCGGACTAAGGAAGGGAAATCCTCAAACCTAGATTATCTGTTAACGAACGACCAGCTCCTGGTTGAGGATGTTAACATCCGCGCTCCAATAGGTAGTAGTGACCATGGCACAGTCCTGTTTAACATGGTCACAAACGAAACGCTGACACCGGACGATAACGAGCCTTACCTTTGCTACAGTAGGGCAAACTACACACACATGAGAGAGGTGCTCCTACATGCCCCATGGCCACGGGTGTGGCGGAGGCTGACAGTAGATGATCACTGGCAAGCAGTGAGAGATATCACCCAAAACGCTGTCGTAGACAACGTACCTCAATCACACCCAAAACGCCAGAACAGAAGAACCTGGGTTAGGCGTGGCACAGAACGCTTGCTACAGGCGAAGAGGAAAGCCTGGCACAAGCGGAAGGTCTCCTTGAAGGATTCCGATCGCAGTTCTTACTCGGCATTGAGAAACAGATGCAATACCAAAGTTCGAAGCGACAGGAGACAATTCCAGACGATACTAACCGCCAGAATAGAGGCAAACCCGAAACATCTGTTTAGGTTCATGTCCAAAAGAAAACCTACTAATCAAGGGTTGTGCCCCCTAAAAGGGCCTAACGGAGAAGACCTCACCAACCTAGAGATGGCCGAGATCTTCAACACCCACTTTTCTGATCAATTAAACCAGGCGCCTACATGTTCAGAGTATTACGCCAACCCAATGTCAGCTGACGGCTTAGGGAACATCCGTATCACTCCTGACCTAGTATTAAGGAAACTAAAATCCTTACGCCCAGGTAAGTCACCAGGTTGTGACAACATCCGCCCTATAGTCTTGCAACAGTGCGCTGAAGCCCTCTGTTCACCGTTATGCAACCTGTTCAGGCATTCACTGGAGTCACACCAATTCCCAGCGGAATGGAAACAAGCTACTCTCTCTCCAATCTTCAAAGGAGGAGATAGAAAGGACCCAGCCTGTTACAGACCAGTCGCACTACTACCTATATTATCAAAGGTTATGGAAGGGCTAGTGGACGAACAAATGAGGGAGTACATGGATAAGGATAAAATACTCCATGAAGCTCAACACGGGTTTCGGAAAGGCAGGTCGTGTGCATCTAATCTTCTCATCGCATGGGACAGTTGGACATCCTGCTTGGACCGTAAAATACCAGTGCACGTAGTATTTCTCGACTTCGCAAAAGCCTTTGACACAGTGCCCCAAGCACGCCTAATCCAAAAGGTTGTGGAAATGGGCTTCACTGACCCACTCGTATCTTGGCTCAGAAACTACCTTGAGAATAGAAAGTTTCGCACCAAGGTAAACAGGGTGCACGCGAGTTGGAGAGTATCCACTTCAGGAGTTTCACAGGGGACCATCCTAGGCCCACTCCTCTTCCTGATATTCATTAACGACCTGCTAAGCTTAGTTAGCTCACCGGCACTGATCTACGCAGACGATGCGAAGATCTGGAGGTCCATTAGAAGCGAAGAGGATTCGACTGAGCTTCAGGAGGACCTTACATCCATTAAGAAATGGGCAGTGAAAAACGGTTTAAAACTCAACCAACCAAAGTGCCACGTCATGCATTTCTTGCCTCATATGACGCAAACCACCTACACTCTCAATGGAAGTCCGCTCCCTAATGTCCCCTAATGTCTCCTCTTGGTTTAAAAACCACAGAAAGCCTCCACACCAGTCCGAACTATGTAGGGGATACAGCCAAGGCAAATGCGACTCTACAATTTATGCGAAGACAGCTTGGTGCTATAACCCCGAAATTATTTTTAACCCTCTTTAAGACGTACGCGCGCCCACACTTGGAGGTTCACAACGTCATCGCAACCCCTCTGCTTAAAAGAGACATTAATCTCTTGGATCGAGTGCAGAGAAGAGCAACCAAATGGGTGATAGGGTTGAAAAATAAACCGTACGACGATAGACTCCAGCTCTTGGGATTATTCCCACTGAGCTACAGGAGAATCAGAGGTGACCTGATTATGGCGTACACCATATTAAACACGCTGAACGATCCCAATGTGAGCATCTTACCGATGCATCACCACCACTCGCCTCGAGGCAATCCTCAAAAGATTGCACATCAAAGAGCAAACACTCAGATTCATGCACACGTTTTCTTATTGCGAGTCGTCGCAACTTGGAATGCTCTCCCAGCCGAGGTAGTTACAGCCCCCTCAGTGATCTGCTTTAAGAAGAGACTTGATAATCACGTACTCACATGCGGACTATCATCTCCCTCTTGGACAAGCTGTGCCTGATGCATATCTTGAGACCTGCTAGTTGTTACCATTGCCATCTCCTCAGATCACTTAATTAATCTAACTCGCCTATTCCTCTCCCTTGCTTACACTCCGGTCCTCTCTCACAATCTTCACTACCAATTAATAAACTAAATTCATCTATATATTACTCAGTTCTGAAATTTTACTCATATTATCATTTTAATTTACCCTTATTACCCTTATTACTCTCCACATTGCAACTAACTGATCTCCGGTTTGGTAATGTGACGGCTGCTAGTATCCAGAAACCCTACTGCCCTGAAACAAACGTTTCATTCAAATCCCGAGACATACAAACTGACAACCAACTGCCAACTGACTAGAATTAGACAGTCGAGTGGCAAGACCTCCATCCATTGGACATTACCGAACACCTGGAACCGTACCGAAAGAACAAGAATCGAGCGCGAAGAAATCAAATTGGTTTACACTAGCTCGTGAAAAAGATATTGGATATTGAACACCATTTAAAACTCTAGGGTACACATAAGTTTAACCATAGACACATTCGCCTTACTGAACTTGTTGGCAATAAATAGGAACAGCTTGCATTCCCCTCGAGACAGCCGAAAGGTAATCGGGACATAAGAGACTTACTTTAGACACAAGTTACAGATTTCTCAAATGTTTATTCATGTCTCAAGATGGTGTATTTTGAAAAATCAAAAACTGATTATATTTATAGCCTACGTTAGCTTCAATGAAGCTTAAATAAACTCCTGCCAAACATTTTTACTCAATTCCCTTCTTTGTATAAATGACTTTTAGTTGGGTGCCAGAAAAAGAAAGTGATTATTCTAGGCTACTCGTCTGTTAGAAAATCATTACTTGGTGAAATGTCTCTGGGAACGGTTTAGAGACTAATTTTACTACTTTTTATCAATGATCTTTCTAGCTACATATCTTCATCGGTGTGGAATATGTCCATGGTATGAAGATTTCGGAGCCAGAGATAGCAGATCAATGTTTCCAGGTGGATTATAGTGCATATATATACCTAATGAGTATAAACTGGGCGATCACCTAGGAGTCATTATCAGGCATGACTTGAGAGCTGCTTCACATTGTATCTTCAAAACCGATTGATTATAGTATGGCAAATAGTATTATTTACGGAAAAACTCGGATATCAGATGGAAAAAACTATTTCAAATAAAACAATCGACTGTTTGGTAAGATTCGCCAAATGAAATTTTGAATACACATGGACAAGTACAGCAACATAGGTGAAATGTCTTAAATGAAATACTATATCTCCTATACTTTTTTTTACAGTAATATTGTATTAAGTACCTATTGTTTATTTGCATTGTTTGTGAGTTAGCATTGTTCGTAATTAATCGGTACTTGCGTTACCTTCGCGATTCAAATAATTGACAGTTATATATGTACTTAAGAGTTTGTCATTTTTGCGATACTCGCTCCGATTTCAACCTTACAGATATTCTAAATCTTAAGCTTGACTGGTCACTAATCGTGGTTTTTCGCTTTTGTTATCAAGCGTAAGTTCGTTTTGTGCTCTTGCTGGGTCGTAGACACACCTCTCCTATTGTTTTTCTCTTTTCCAGTTCTCACGCAACTCTTCATACTCCCCTAGTACACACAGTAGCCTTTAACTAAACGCGAGACGCTAAACATTTCCCTCTTTTCTACGTATTTGGTCACGGACCTTGAAGCACCCAGTAGTGTTGTATTGTCCTTTTATGCTACTATTTACTTGGTGAGACTATAACCTATTATTTTCCGATATCACTATCGAATGTACATTGCTCTTCACACTGTTAGTGCTAATAACTTACGTTACCTAATGGTCGAACAAACTTCATCTGTCTTCGAAAATGATCCTTTAATTGCATCCATTACATATGTTATTATTGCCACCGAATACATAACTTAATTTTAAGCGTCACTTTAAGCTATCAACTCACGTGAATTCTGTCATTCTATTTGTGCATAATAATACTCAGTTTTACATGCTACCATAATACTGAATTCCAATACATTGCCCTGCCTCTCCAGTATAAACAACACCTACCACTTTGAAATATCAGTGAGCAGATAGTTCTGCCTATCAAAGCCCGAGGTCTGGATCGGTCTGTATCATCTGACCAAAGAAGCATTAGATGTAATAAATCCTTGCATTACTAGAATTTCCAACTCTTCAACAGATAGTTATGGTTATCTAGGGACCATCTCACTTTTGTTATTAACGCAAATATATTCTTTCTATTGTAGGATGACAAAGTGAACACATCGAAAGACGAAAAGGCCCTGAAAGTACGAGTGCATGAAACCCATAATTTGTAAAGATAATTTTTGGTTGTACCACATTTCATTTTGAAATACAAACCCTTGCGTACTATCATTTAGAGTTTTCCTTTGTGGTAGTTTAATAATCGTACTTGTTGCGCTGTTTTAGATCGTCGATGGACCCACATTAAACTACAGTGGCTATGATGGGATGCGAAAACTATATGCACCTATATGAATTAAAATGTTAAGATTGGGATGTGATGTTTTGAAGTTCTGTTACTATGCTTTTCAACAAATAGCCACTCGGATGAGTGGGAGCACTTACACATAGCTAATCTATTCTCAGTGTCCATGGACTGCGGAATAATCATTTAGACATTTTTGATGCAGACCTTATTATCTCGCACACTAGTATCTCGATAAAATTCCTTGTATTTATCTTACATCCTTTGGTTTAATATTATGGTTTTGCTTACAACCAATATATCCAATGTAAGACTAAATCGTCTGCAAATACGACTTCTGACTGTTTTCTGGCTATATCAGAAAGATCATTTAGTCGGAGAAGTGATCTGTTCAAGACAGCTTTTCGCTCACTATTTGGCGACTGACAAATCAGCTAAACCCAACTTAAAATATTCTGTATGACTATCTCATTCTACATCCAGTGAGTTTCTAGGTAAGTGTTTTTCTTGGTTAGTGTTGCGTCATGATGATAGCCACCCGGATAACTTCACCTCTGAATCCTTGTATTTTCTTGCACGTCTTATTATTAGAGACTATTAAAATTGTGGTTGGTTTAATAATAGGTTTCTTTATTTCGCCGCTCAAAATCGATATGTATTAGGAGGTGACGTTTCCGGAACAAACTATATAGTGTACAGAACAACAAAATAAGGGGTTGCCGACAAGTGGAATAAAGGTATGACTACAGAGCGAATTCGCATTATTCTTAATTATGTCGTCATATTATTGCGCGACGTTCTATATTTATGATGATTCGTAATGTAGAAAAACACTAAGCGAATTCCAAACAAATGTTTAACACTTTTTATGTAGACAGACAGATGCAACTCAGAACCTCGTACGTAAGTACATCAGTTCGAGGTTCTGCGTTGCATCTGTCTGTCTACATAAAATGTGTTAAACATTTGTTTATGCACTGATCGTTAGAAAAGAATACGAAGAAATTAGGGTCAAACGTTAGGATTTCTTAATCCTAAGACACCTGCGATACATTTTTATTACTTTATGCATTCGTACATATTTTTGTTTAAAATTGTGTTCAAGCTTTTAATATGTTTTTCAGACTTAAGACCATACAATGTCAAATTTGGTAAAAGATTGCAACAAATACTTTCACACGAAGAACTTATATGAAGTTTTAGGAGTCACTAAGGATTGTGACAAAACTGAATGTAAATATAAAACATGAGATATGTCATCTGTTTTTATAGTTCGCAAGGCTTTCTACAAATTGTCTCTACTTCATCATCCTGATCGCCATGACAGTGACTCAAAGTCAGAGGCGACAAAACGCTTTCAAGTACTGTCTAGAGTCTATTCGTACATGGAAGATGACGAGAAACGTAAAGTCTATGATGAGACAGGTTGGTTCGTAATTAACGAAATTTAGATGAAATAATTTTGATTTTCAGGTGTTATCGATGAAGACGATGAGATTACAAGCAAATCGTATGATGATTGGGTTGAATACTGGAAACTTTTGTTCCCTAAAATCACATCTGCACAAATAGATGATTACTGTAAAAAGTATAAAGGAAGTGAACAAGAAACGGAGGATCTAATCAAGATCTACAATCGTTCTAAAGGTGATATGGATGTTATAATGGAGTCTTTAATACTAACATCATATCGAGATGAAGCTAGAGTTCGTGGCCTTATTGATAAATTAATATCTAGTGGTAAAATTGACGCATTCAAAAAGTACACACATGAACGACCTGAGAAAGCAGCAAAAAGAGCTAAACGAGCACTAGAAGAAGAAAAATTATTTTTAAAAGAACAGAATAAGAAAAACAAAAAACGAAAAGATGATGTTAACGAAGGAGAGTTGGATACATTAGCTAAAGCGATTCAAGCACGACATGAAAATGCATTAAAATCATCAGAAAACTTTCTGGATAAGATTGCACAAAAATACGGTGCAAAGCAAAAGTTACCAGCTAAAAAGAATTCTAAGACTTCGAAGAAAAAAAATAATTAACAACTCAATTTCAGTAAAAAAAATGTATTTATCGTATAAGAAAAATTGAAAAATTACAGATACCTTTGTACATGTACATTATAAAGAAATACAATCTTACGACTTTTTCTGACTTTCTACTCTCTATGGAATGAGATAAAAACAAAACAGGTAGCAAAAGGTTAGAGCGTCTTAGTGTGAAATAAGGAGTTTTTCGAAAGAAATTTTTGCAAAAGTTAAATCATTACTTAGCTGTTAGAAATGTTTTATTACTAAACAATATTGGTACGACCTGAGTTAGTCAGTCAGCTACTACGTAGAGCTTGGTACGTACATATATCAGTTTAAGTTGCCATACTACATTAGTACAGAGTGACAAAATTGTCAGTTCAGATCTCATAGTAGTAGAGGAAGTGGCAGTATTAACGGTAATGGGAAGGATTAGGGATCGAGGATACAACTCGAAAAGTATAATCCAGTCAAATAGATTTGGTAGAAGAAAAAAAGGTCAGTGGGGAATTCAGAATGCTAGAATTCGAGCGAAAACAAACAGTGGATGCCCCGACGCCATTGAAAACGATTTTGAGCCATGTTATTTAAGGTCTCACTACCGGTCACGATTATCTCGTGAACTCCAACCAGGTAGTCTACACATACTAACATGGCTCAGTCCAGTTGCTAGCGCCTTTAAGGATTTGTGCCATGATTTGGTTTGGCCGCACCTAGCTTTTTTCCACTCTACCCCTACATCAGACAACATTGCTCGTCGAGGTAGCCGGTGGTTAGACATGTAAAATATGTCCTAACCACCTCAACTGATAAAGATCCATTACTTCTTAAATTCATCTACGGTCTTTAACGATTAACCTTTTCCTAACTCTGTATTGCTTACTCGCTGGTCCCTGGATGAACAAGCAATGTTCTGAAAACACCGATGATCGAATAATGGTAACCCATGAAAATCCTCTCAATGATCCACATTCGTGTAGTAAGACAGAGCGACCTGTTGCGTAGTAAGCTCGTCCTCTAGTTAGCAGACGGATGTCTCGCTTACGCCACAAGTGACTCAAGTTGGCGGAATCCAGTCGGACCTTTGTCCGTTCTAAGATTTTGTCAGACATCAGGTCACTAGGACTAATGAGACTGCCAAGATAAGTGATCAGGTCGACACGCTCAACTACTACTACTTACGACTAGTTCAGGTACCGACGCAAGCCAATCCCAAAGCAATATTTTGTATTTCGAGGGGGAAAACCGCATCCAGAACATGGTTGGATTGTTGCTTTAGGTGGTCAGAAGACTACATTTTGTCAGCGTCTTCGACAAACAGAACTATATCTTCTGCACATCCTACGTCAATAAGTGAATCTCCTGGTAAAAGATCAGCTCTTGAAAAGTCAGACGAGGAGACTGTTATCTCTAAAAGCATGTCTATGATAAATTCGAATAAGAATGGAGAGTGGACAACCTTGAAGAACACTACTTGGGGCCTGTAGAAGATAATGAACATCTTTGGTACAGCTTTCAATGACAGACACTGCGAGACATAACCTCATGATTAACAGAGTCGAACGCCGCGTTAAGGCCAAGAAACACAACTATCGTCGAACGCCTGAATGTGTGTCTATGTACTAGAACCTGACGAACTGTGAATATTTGGTCCATACGTCTACGTCAAGGTCTGAAACCAGTCTCTTCTTCTCGCATCTGCTCCATTAGCCACCGTTAATACATCAGATAACTTAGCTTTTTGAAGAAGGTTAGAAAGCTTTCCGTAAAATTCATCCTTCACCTCATATGAGCTGCACTCGTTCGGAGCGTGGGCAGAAACAACAAAGAGACAACGGCAAGTGTCCAAATTTTACCGAGTTCTAACTATCCCCTTTAGTCGGATAGTGCACAAGCGACTGTCCACTGGAATTCAGTCTAAGACAGCTAGTTCTGCCTTGGAACACAATACTATACCTACAACGAGGCCACGGGAAGTAGCAGTGGGGATAACAGATACAGGAAGAGTATATCGCAAGGGTTCTTTATTTTGGAAAGATGAGTTCAAATGAATGACTGTGCTCGGGTCCTGTATGAGCGTTTCGAAGACGCGGCATACGTCAGTGGCACGAGATTCTAAAGTCCTAGCTAAGGAAGCCTATTGTCTTATTTGCCACGAGGTCCGAACATTAAAAGCTCTAACGCGTAGTTTAGAGCGTGGTTTCAGGAGACCAGGAATAACATTTCATGTAATCAAATCGTTAGCATTAGCGACGCGCTGTGATAAGAGTATACAAGAAGAGTAAGTCATAGAGACAAGAGAGTTTCTAAGAGGTGAGGGAAGGATTTGATTGTAAATAAGTTGATCTCGAGCTCTGTTAAGGGTATTGAGGGTGGATGTCACTTTTCGGTTGTCTATACCGTTGAACCTCGAAATAAAATTAGTTTGGCATTGATCTTATCGACCTGGGAGCGCGACCGCAAAGTCCAAAGGATAACTGCTGGATGCCTATCACTCGTGGCCTTTTTATGGTAAGTTTTTGAGGCGTTAGCTCCACTCTTCAAGAGGCCTTACCACCGAGGACGGAAATCCGTTGGGTAAGGTGAAGTGTGACATTTTTGGGTCGTTTTCTAACCCATTCCTTCCGTTGTGAGAAGGCAACATCGCTACAGATGCTGGTTGTCCGAGGGAAACATCTTGCCACCGTCACACCCCTCTGCAGTCAGCAGTACGATTTCGCCCTCAGACCTTGAGTGGCTGCGTTTAGTCTTACCATTCTACAATCGACTTCCTGGTATGGTGAAACCTAAAGGAACATGTGTTCCAGCCAATATAGCTCGGTTGGGTTATTACGATAGGCAAACCCAACCATCACGTCTAGGTAACAGCTACGGCCAAGGCATCACTTGGGATTATTGAGTTACTTTTCATATCATGTGGTGTAGTATGAATTCGTTATTAAGTCATAGGTATGCTGTCAACTTGGTTTTCCCGAACAAAAGAGAACAGAATGGGATCATTATTAGCTAACTACATAAACTGAAAGCCCCCATAAGTTAATTATGTATCATTCATAAATGTGACTTTTGTACTTATGATCATTTGTTCACAAAAAATCAGTGATGAACGACTTTCACATGTGATCGTAGTACTTATTTTGTAACGATTACTGAAAAAGTAATACTCAGAGTTTCCGAATGAAATCTAGATAATCATATCGCGTACATAATGTATCACAGTTAATAGATAGTATGCTAAGGGCAATAATTTTCTGTTACAGGATAAAGTATGACTGTAATACAAGGATTTCTTTCTTGTGTAAAGCTGGAATCCAAGTATACGTCAGCTGAACTCAAGTTTTGAGGTAAGGCATGGTGCTATATTCAGTCTAAATAACGACAGACTCGTTATGTCTTGATATTTTAAAAAACATAAGGTGTTGATAACTAGTGATAGAATCACCGGAAACTAAACCGTGTAAAAAATTTACTGATTATGAAGCCTAGAACTTTTGAGAGCAGATATCAGCAGTACTTAGTGGGATTCCTAGTTCCACTAATAAGGCTTGCCATTATTGTTAACAAAGATATTACATCTATGCATTTTTGTACACTATGTAAAAGTAGAGCCAAACGGAAGTAACTAAAATCATTTGTACGTATGAAAAATAATGAATTACTATAAGTTTTTAAACTTACAGCCTGGATGAAATCCATCACCTTAGCGGGATCAGATCCTGAAGCAATATCAATCAGATCGATCGGCACACTGTATTGATTCACTGAATTTGGACGGATATTTTGATCATTTTGGTAGCGAAATAACGGGATGGTATCCTATCAACCAAATACAGACGATAATGAAATAATACAAATAATTTTTTTATTAGATATGTCACGCCACATTAATATGAAGGGAGTGGAGTTGCCGACAGCTGTTTTTAACGTTATTTAAATGTACAAGCTGAAGTAGTAGGTCGGGAAGCTTTACTTTTATCAAGCTTCTTCAGGGTGTCGGATAATTATAAAAGTCATTATTGAGAAACCTACTGTTAATCAAAATAATTCTCTTATGATATTCACAAGAACATTTCACTCTTTCCTTACGTAATGAGTGCCAACAATCACGACTAATCTGATGAGATAATTCTTAGCACCGAGGTTCTACTTAATACCTCAGTTAATCCCAATGATTATTTTAGACCCAGGATTGTTAGACGTCATTAATGAGTCTCCTGACTGATCTACGCTGTTTGGCTGTCACTTGAGCTCTTTATACGGGTTTTAAAGAAAATACATACCAATGACACGAGGTTCTTGTTGAACTTGTGTTGATTGCGTAAGGGAAAGGATATGAAGTAAAAGTAAGTGTTGAGAGTGGGAATAGCGACGTTGAAAAGTGAGGAATGGCTCTGTATGTAAATAGCAGGAATCGGAGTACTGTTAGAAGGCTTACTCGCTTTTTGAAGTTAAACTAGACTAGTGCTGAAAAGCCTACCAGATTGGATGAGTGATTGCATAGTTCAAAGAGTGGTTGGTAGAGGATAAGCAATATCGTCGCATAGTTTTTGTCATTAGCTCAATCCTTTTTAAACTGTACCAACGACTGATGAAAGATACATTAATAGGTTGGCAAAGATATTATTTAAACCATAAATTTCTGAAGCTCAGGTGCCATTTCGTGCAACAGACTACAAGCTGCATAACTAGTGAAAAAACTAGTCAGGTTACCTGTTTGTATAGCCTAATCACTGAGAGCTAAGGACAGTAACCACCAAGCCAACACGCCATGAATGAAACTTAGTGATGAAAGCAAGAACAAATTAATTCAATAACCATACATTAGGAGTATAAATCACGTCTATTTTTCCGTGTTGAACAGTAGGCTGAATTTGAAATCAGTTGCATTTCAGACTGATTTTGAATTTCAATGTTTTGTCTTAACATAATGTTATTCATTTAGCAAGTACACATTTGTGTATTCAACTGCAAGCCATTTTTCTGGTGATATTATCTACATGCACAAACTCGAAGTGAAGAATCTTCTACTTATTGGTTGATATTCAAATACCTTAACCACCACAAACTGCCGTTTAAGCAACCATACACTATTTGTATTAACCAAAGTGTAATAAGAGTTAAATCAAACTCACATTTTCATGCACACTATTTTCCAATTCTGACCATTGAAATAATAGTGCTTCAGTTGGTGGACCAAATACATTGAAATCAATTATTTGAATACGCATTTTACCATTGTTCTGTACATAAAATCAAAATGAGAATAGAGAAAAAATTTACTTACCGAAGATTCCCAGTATAAATCAACTGTATCTAAATTAATAAATTAAAATAGTATTTTTTTTATTTATTTAAAACAGACAAAATTTACAATTTTCTAATTCGAAATAATTCTTGATTTTTCGATGAAAAAATTCCACCAAATCATGTTTAATATGTTCTAGTTGTTCTTCAATTGTTTTAAAGTAGGCATCACATTTTCGTTGACAAATTGCTTGAGAATTAAAAAACAAAATATAAAGAGAAAAGAATTTGAAATAATCATGTCCACATCGACTAGTTGATAAAATAACACAAATATTCTAGCAATATATGTGAACTGACTAAAAGATAGATACGTACATGACTGGATGCTGACTCAGTGGTCTAGAAGTTGAAAATCTGCACATTTTAAATTATGATTGGTGAAGATTGTAAATTTTGGTTTAATCTGAAATTTTAGTTTCACTGTCATACTGAACACTAAGAAATGGGGGCATGTTGCATGTAACAGTATTAAATAGGGAGTTGTTTAACAAACGAGGAACCACAAAACAGTTGTCTTATATAACGATAGGATTAATTAACAGTGCTCACTGAAGAACCAGTAAATGATCAAGCTCAAAACCATAGGATTTAAAAAAAAAATTATATGACATACTACAGATTAAATGTTGAAAATGTCGGTGCAAGTGTTAGTAATCCAATAAATATTAATGAGACTCCTTAGAGCTCATCACTTAGTTTGTATTAAGATCTTAATGTCAAACGCAGAACTTTTGAATGGCACACCTACTTTCAGAATACCTTAGTCCTACACAGTATTGAATTAAAGACGTCAAAAAGTGATTTCTAATGACGCCAGAGCTCATTTTGAAATAAGGTTTCCAGTTCATCTGAGAAGTTGTATGTTTTTATTCACCTTCACTTTTGTGCCACGTAAAAGTTATGTACTAAACGTTTAATGAGAGCATTTTGAGAAAGAAAATATACTTTGTCTTCTATACTCTTGAGTACTACACACCAGTAACAAATTTAATAACTCAGTTGCACAATTCAGTAACTAGTTTATTGTACCAGGAAGGTTAGACTTGATAACACAACCTTTTAACCGAAGGGGCAATAATACAGTATTGTAATTAAATAATTTAGATATTTTGTATCAAATACATTTTATCGTCACTTCATCTTCTGTTGATTCGTACAAAACATATATGGTTCAATATCTCATATATTGTAATCTAATAGAATTAATTTCTAAGGATATGTATGATGTATTTTGGCTAACACAGAATTGTTGTTCAGCTTTTTATGGTTTGTAAAGAAGCATGAACAACAAATAAGGAAGTAACAGTACGATTAGCTTACCAATAAGGACTTTTGATTTAATGAAACAACGGAATTCTCCTTCAGGACGAAAATCATACCATTTTCGTAGAACAAGTATTGGTTTGGCATTGAAGAGACAACAAGTTTGCTCTGTTGAAGTATCTGTACACAAAGCAAAACTAAAAATGAAAGCAAAAAAAATGGTCGTAATGTTTGTACAGATAAACACATTACGGAGCAGTCAAATCATGTGCTGCGAAATCTGACGATTTAAGTAGTATGTAAATTTCAGAAAATGTTTTACACTTTAATGATCTGTCACAAGAAATCCAAGATGCATCCTGTAAGCATTAGGCAAGTTAAAAATGGAAGGAACACTTACAGATGGGGCACTCCAATTTAACTTGGGAAATACAACACCGCCTAGCTTCCGGATGATATTTTTCAACTGAGATTCGAAATGAGGAAATTCAGGTCTCTGAGAATGCAGTATTTCTTAAATTTTCATCATGCTGATAATTACCTCTCTTTTATTGTCATCAGTATCAGAATCGTCTGGCCAAATATCCTAAAATCATAATAAATGAGATGTTTCTTTTACGATCAGAGATAATGACAAATAAAACATATACAGTAGTATAATACCTTATTGTCTAAATTATTGTTGTGTAGGTTAATTTAATAATGTGATAATAATAGGGACAGTTCTCATTTTCGCTGCGAAATGATTTTATTCAAAACATCACTGAAACCTTTAAAGTAACAAGCAACGATTTTTTTTACGTGTACAGTGCATTACTGCTAATACTTCTACTACCTCCTACCACTATGGGATTGGAATTGACAATTGTGTCTCTGTGCTAATGTGGTATGGCAACCTGAATTGATGTACGTACGTACGTACGAGGTTCTACATTGTAACTGATTGACTGATTGACTGACAGTGTATTTTCAAATTATTCTTTGTTTAAGATTACAACCTGTGGAATCAATCGAATAAAAAGGGATTAATTATATTTATTCTCCTTATGATCATTTAGTTGTAATTTATTTTATAACTGGATGGTTTTAGTTCATTTTAGAAAATATTTACACAGAACAATATGATATGATATAATGGAGTGATTAGCTGTTGCTAGTGAATTTGATGCCAATGCATTTGTTTCATTAACGGTAATCATTGATCGGGATTTCATTTAATCACAAAATAGTGTTTAGAACAATGAGGATGATGTTAGTCGACCAACTATTTATTTAGATGAGGAACCCAAATGCTCATAGATGCATATTGGGGACATAAAACTGGTGATTAAATTATGCATTGTTTTGTGATGAATAAGCATGTTATCATTTAAGAAATTTGATTAGGGAGAAGCGTTATCACATGTAACAAATTGCTGACTTAAAGCCACGAAGTAAATGATTGCATGAAAGTCCACACCTAATGAAGACGTATCGTAATTCAACTTTAAAACTGATTTACTCAGATCAAAGTTGAATAAACTGCCATATTTAACATAAGGCGAAAGGTTAGGTAATAGTAAAGATGCAGTTCAGTTGTTTATCGACTCGAATCTTAAGCACTAAAACGTGTAACTTTTCAGCCACATACAACACATGGAACTAAGTCTGCAATTTATAAGTGTTATGATAAGAAGCTTTTACGACTTACATCATCGTTTAGGTCCGACAGATCTCCGTTTGTTTGTTTTGCACTGGAAACATACATTGGAAAGAATAGAACATATTTATATTTGGTGACAAAAATGCGTTAAGTTTATCATTTAAGGTAAACAACCAAACATTGTTGTTTAATAAATGGAAATTACAGAAATGTATAGTCAAAGGATAAGGAGTAGCAATTTACTAGAAACTATGAAAAGAACATGTATGCAACATAAAACTACATACCACTTACTGTATATAATATGGCTGGTTTCCTTGCTTTTAGAATTCGTTTTAGAATAAAAAAGGTCAACTTAATGACATCTATGGAAGGAACTTTAAAAAGTCAAGATAGTTCAACCATAAGTGTATTGCAAAACTGTTTACAGAATAAGCAATGAATTTACTTGTTACATTTGTCTTTTAAGGTGACGCAATATTCAAATTTTAGAGAATAATATATTTTGCTCTGTCATATTGAAAAACACTAGAACCATTAACAGAGTATTCGTTTTTAAGTATATATCAATTTAAAAGCATATATATTTCATTACTTAAGTAATATAGTAGAATTAAAATTATAAGAATGCATTTTATCATCAGTTATTTTTTGAGAGTACTAGCAGCAGAATTGAAAAGTGTACAAGAAAACGCGATAGTATTGTCATATCCATCATATGTTTGTCTGCTACTTTCATGTCTCATTATATTACGTAATGACATCTAGGACCTTAATACTTTGCTCAATTGTCTATTAAGAATTGGATATTGTAAAGTATTGCATTGTTAATCTGACCTACTTGTACTATTATATGCATGTTTTGTTACGCTTGTCTAGTGTAGTGCCTCATCAAATCCTCCTACATAACATTACTTAAATTAAAGTTTTAAGAAGTGGCAGAAAACAGAAAAGTTTAAACAATAAAAGGAAGGAGAAATAATACTATATATGTAGGCGAATAGACTAAAACACATGCATAATACTTAATGCAATGGAGCACCAAAATGGCACACAAATTAAAAATGAATTTAGAAAGATACACAAAATTTAATACGTATGGTTATCTCATTAAAGTTTTAATTAGGAAATATGATTAACAGTCAACTACAACGTAGGACTGAGTACGTACGTACATCAGTTCAAGTTGCCACACCGAATTAGCACATAGATGCAATTTTCAATTAAAATCCTATAGCAGTAGAGGTGGTAAAGTTATTAGCGGTAATCGGAGAGATTAGAATTCGAAGATATTATTCTAGTAGTAGAATCTAGTGGAATAAACTTAAAAAGAAAAAGATAAAGGTGATGAGGAATTCAGAAGATAAGAATTTCAAAGAAGACAGGGTATGAGTGCATCTGCGCCACTGCAAACGATTTTGAGCCATGTCATTCAAGTCCCTAATTATCCGTTAAAATTTACAGAAAGAATACAGGAATCAAAACGATAACCAAATTTCAATACATACAGAGCAATTACCTTTTAGGGAGAATGAACTGTTCATTTGTTAGTGAAGTAATGAGGTCATCTGGGAGATTAATAAATATACTATAAAAGAATTTATTATAGTGATATTATTTATATCGTGTACCTTTCTTGAGTGTAAGATTCAAAAGTGTGATACCATGAATTGAAAGCGCACTGCTCGACATCTGTTATTTTCATTAGGAAATCTGAAAAAAAGACATAAAATGACAATAAAACTGATTAACAAGAACTAAATAACCATCAAGTTCCACAGACTTCATTTATGGAAGATGCAGTTCCGTAAGCCTATGAAATACTGAAATGTATGCGATGTAAAGCAACATCAGTCTACAAAGATAACCTGGAACCTTTAGGAAAACGCTGCATTGTAGTTATTTCTGTCAGTAACTATTAGCTGAGCCGTAGTAAGTCATTGGGTTAAGGTAGTTTGTCGGAAATCACCAAATATTTAAAAATCTGTTTCAATGAAGTCTGAACAAGACAATAGGCGAGGTTATCTTAGACGAAAGCATGAGGCCTAGGGAATGATTATGAGTACCATTAGGAAATGAAAGTAAGCTATACGGTACATGCAGAGGTTATAGATAATACTAGGCCAAGGTATAGGAAACAGCCACTAATGTATGTCTTGTCGAGAATAACGAATCATTGGCACATTCTCATTTAAAACCACTAGAACGAAAAAAGTACGTCGACTGAAAACTTAACTAGTCATTATGTATTGTTTAGTTGTCCACCATGCACTAAGACTAAATGGGTGATTGCTATCAGTGAACTTGGTGAATCAGCAAGTAATCTCAAGCAATGGTCGTACCGCAGATGGTAATCTAGGACTGCAATTCAGATTAACTGAGATGGTAAGCTTGGTGTGAGTTTGATTACAACAAGCTCATTGAAGTCTGCAGGGCAAAAGTACCCTAGTGATCACTCCACGGCAACAGGCTTTTTATTATGGAATCTGACTCCGTGTGTTCTAGATCACTGAACAATATATACTTGTCAGGCTTATTCCGTTTACATATACTCAAAACCACTTGAAAACACGGTATCAAAAGTCTGGTAAGAAATATGTTGGGAAAAGATGTACTTTCAACATATTGCTCTAACAAACCACTTGTACAAAGGATAGGTTGCAGGTGTGAACCACATTGTGTGAATCGTAGTCGGTTTATCGAGTTCAGATAGGTAATGGGATAGTCACACATATGATGGTTATACACAGATACAAGCCCATAGTTTTATATAAGTGAAAAATAACTAACCGTGTTAACATATCTGATTGTTTTACTTCACATCTTTTTAAGCTAGGTGTATGGTTTTTATGTACAAGATGCACGATATGTGACTGCCACAAGGCTGATCAGAAGAGCTCCTAGGACTTTAAACTCGATATTTAACTGAATTAGTTGGCTGATCGGAGATTTCGGAAGTTTATGCATAACGGTGAAACTTGACGTTCATCATGTTCCAGACTATAGTTCACAAACCCTGCTGTGGACATACTATTCGGCTTTACTTATCAAGAGTACTACGAGCAGTTTATAATTGGAAAGTGTAACGGAGAAATAAATCAATTCAGTATAGACTACGTGTTGGAACATTTGCTAAGGCACATTCACTAGTAAAGAACTCTCGATTTCACCTGTTTTTACAGACAGTTTAGAAAAAACTCATCTCCATCTGAACGTTTGTAATATTTATTTCTGTAAATGAATTACTAATTTCTGAAGTCTGTATAGGGTGAAGATGAATCCTATTTCACTTGAGATTAAAAAGTCTAGCAATTCTGTTAAAATATTTTCTAAAGAGCTCCAAATAAGTGAAATTATAACTAAGAGAAAGTTTTTTTATCAGCTTCTGGGAATCTAATAAATGGTAGCATTGATTTGAAGAGTGTGAAGGATAGCTACTACAAACCATTTGAAACCTTACAGCATCAACTCTTAGTCTTCATTATCAGGTTGTCTTAGTCTGTTTTATCGCTGGTTGACATCGATTGCTTTCACTATTCAACTTAATTACACTTATAGCACAAACTAAAGTGAGTTTTTTTACTTTTTATTGTCATTTTTCCTTTCAGATTGTTTAAAAAACGTTACTTTTTATACTCCATCAGCAGGCAAGATACCTTTCAACCAGACATGATTCTAATATATTTACACTAGATACACTGAATCTGCCTCGCAATTGTACATGTGGATACGATAGTCAATGATTATTAACCCAAAGATTTATTCGACCAAACGGTGTATAAGATGATAGCGCCTTCAGAAACTGACGCGCTTGAGGAATTTAGTGATATTAACCAGATAGTGCAATACTTCAATACAGAAATTAATATCAGTTTTGGTTTGGTGAGGACCGAAACCGTGGCACTTTTCATCTCTCAGTGGATCAAGCTTTCTCTTGAGTGCGTCGACAGATGGAGGTTCAATCAGGTGTTGGGGCAACGAGTTAAATTTGTAGACAATTCGATGAGGTATTCAGTAGTTAGCTGAAAAGTAATTTACGCCGTACTTGTGAACCTTTTTAGTGTCTGCGCAAATTCTGTTTTGGAAGATCAGAAGAATAAGGGCATGCCAGAAACGAATTTATCATTAATTAATTTAAGAGCTGTAATTAAGTTACCTCTAATCATTCTGTATGATAAAAGAAATAGCTTAGCGATTGAATCAACCTAGTCGCAGCCTTTTAAAAATCCCGCTGCCATCGCATAGACAGGCTGGAGGCTTATACACAGTACTCAAGTTTCGGATGGACAAATACAGTGTACATGCCTTAGAATCGATATGGCTATAGACTCTACGTATGAACAAGAGTTTTAAAACCTTCGGCATCTATCGCACGATAACATGAAGTAGTTTTTAAGTCTTAGCTAATGATAACACGTAGGTGATTGTGTGTCTGGTTATCAAGTAGCTCAGAGTTATTCACTACGTATTCACTAGTACCTTGATGACCATCATTATGATGCACTAGTACGCGTTTATCGGGAACTGCCAGCTAATTTATGTAGGAGATAACGGAGCTGTAGACTGTCACCATTTTAACCACTCTCCATATCATGATACGGTCAGCTTGAATGAAAAACGACGAAGAGATTACGAATGTAATTTATCTACAATAAACAACTTCGGCCCTAAAGCTATGCGAAAAATTTTTTGGCTTTCTGATGAATTTACTTTTTTATGCAACAAAAAAGCTGAGTTACATAAACGTGTGTGGTTAAGCGCAGGTGACTTAAATGGGCCAGCACACACGAGCGCCTACTTACCTCGACCTTGTACATTTGAAAAAGCGTAAGGTCATATCAGTGATACAATGTTCAGTACCTACTTCACTAGTTGTATGGTGACTGACATATTGTGCTTGGTTTTCGTGGCTTCGGTATGGCTTTTTAAAGAACTCAAATGACCATTTCATCTGATCTCTGGTTTTTAAAGCCAGTAGATCTATGTCGATTGATAGATATTTAAGAAAAGAAGCAATTTTAGAGTTCTTTCCTGAAAAGAGGACATTGGATTTAGATAAGTCATTTAAAACTTCAGATCAAGTTGTTTCAGATGTCCCTTATTAACTTAACTTATATATCTTTTTTTAACCTACCGTAATAGATGTTACACAGGTTCTCCAAAAACCTAGTTGATTTTCTCCATACTTTTAGATTGCTCTCAAACGTTTTCGCGTACAATATGTGACAAGTGAGTAATCTTCCTATCCTTAGCGTTTGGGCGTCTGGGTTTCGACGCATAGGTTAAATAAAAGTCAAATGTAGAGTCAAACTAACTTGGTCATCGATTGCTTTATTCGCTATTTTTGGTCGTAATAACTTGGTTCTGATAGTGAAGGTTGATCGTGACTTCATAAGCATTGTGTGTGAACATTTAAGTCATATGTATCACGATATAAAGAATAATCCTTCCATTTAGCTTCATTTCCACCGTAATCTGCTGAATTATTTCAATGAAGATTTGTATGAGATCACATTCTGTAGCTGTCGGCTATGAATTTCCTTAAAGCAACTACTCAAACTTCGGATAATTCAGTTGGTAAGGAATTTTGCAGAAAGACCACATTAGGTTATAGTAAATAATCACTGATGAAGACCAGGTAGTGAACTCTTAAATCAATTTGAGTTTCACTACTGGAAGTATTCTGTTGGAGTCCTCACTGAGAAGTCATGAGATCTCTCTCTCCTCAAATTGAAATGTGTCCAGCAAATTTTCGTGTTTCGTTAAAGCACTAACAAGAGATCGTTTTACGTGAGCTTGTTGTCACATTACTTCCGGAAGCAATAATAAAAACAATATTAATCATTTTTTCTCAAATAACAACATGATTTAAGAGGCTTGCCACCACAAAGGCAAGATAAAAATGTTAAGATTGCTAACATGTTCCTTGTAAAACGTTGTTCAATTACTAAAATATTTCACAAGATACATTGGCTTCATACAGATGGCTAAGATTTTCCACATTAAAGTGTAGATTATTTTCCAGACTCTGCTATGTACAATGAGAATAACTGGCGTGAGTTACGACGAACTGCTAATGACTGCGGAACAATTGAATGTAAAGCCAGGCCTGGATATAATAAGAATCGGTGGGGTAAATGTGCTAAGATCTGGTTACAGGCTCCTGGATAGAGTAACCTAGTCGTCGTCAAATATCCACACTAATGTTTGAGGATTGAAATAAGCTGCTGAAAAAGAGAAATGAAGAGAAATGGGCGAGGAGCAGAAGTGAAAATATTCTCTTTTAAATTCGAACAATGACTCAGCAGATACTTTTCTAAATTAGAAGACTAACTCTACACCCGCACTTATGTAGGTTAACGAAGTCAATTCAGTAGTAAGTAACGACTAGGCAGTTATTCGCTTGAATAGAAGAAATTCGAAACGAACCAAATTATAGTATCCAAACTGAGGTTTGGACTGAAGAATAACTGTCTAGGTAGCTTAGATACGCGTCTTGACCAGTTGAAATCAAAACAAGTGAATGGGGTAAACAACGGTTCTAATATTCATCATAAACATAGATATACATCATTACCTAAACAATATTACCACATCTATTCCACCAACAATTGGTCAATTATTCAAATAAATAATGTTCTATCTCTCCTGGATAGATCAGATTCGTTCGACAGACGATGTCTGGTTACTTTATAGTACAAAGTGTTTCCTATTC